TGCTTTTTTGAAATCTTTCTGTATGTCAAAACTACTCATCCAGGCTGATTTAAAAAAAATAACCACACTCCCCCACACACACAACAAAAAAAACAACTGTAAGTGAAAACAAAGCTGCAAACTTCCTGAAACAGTAGACAGAGATTGCATCATCATAAATAAGAAGGCTTCAGATTTAGTGTACGTCAGATTAAGTGATCTAATACAAGTTATTAATTGCAGAATACATTAAGTACACCTGTTTGCTATGAAAGAGGCCTTGGTGAAAAGAGACTTTTTTTAATTTTCCGCAATTGTGCTACCTTAGAGGACCAAATCTTGCCTATTTGCTAAAACTTATGAAAGATTAACCAGGTGGACACCAGATAGCTGGCCTGTCAGCAGCACATGCTGCAGGGTTCAAAACCCGTTTTGCTTTTCAGAGTTAAGGGACAGAAAAAGGAAAGGTTGTTCAGCCTTCAAAATCTTAAGAGAAAACTGTATGTCGTCAGCTAGCTTTTTGTTCTTGCAATGCACTTAACTAAATATCATATAGTAATTATGTCTTATTTAATTTTGTATAGCCATTATGTGTTTTATGTACATCAGTGTCATGTAAAAGCCTCTGTATCAATTTTGTCCCTTTCTTTCAGTGCGTCTTAGGAAGACATTCAATTTTAGAACAGTCTATTATATCAATTGGCACTGCCTATTAATAGAATTTTTGCTTGTTCCCTTGGTGAGGGATTAAATTTCAAGCATTACTGTCAGTAATTTTTCAGTCATGTTCCTTTTCGCAAAACAAATTGTGAACAAGGAGAGCAACTACTTCCTTTCTCGCTGCATCTTTAAAGCTCAAACATACCTCCTGTTTGCACTAACCTAACTAATCCTGACATAACCGTGAGCCTTCCTCCTGAGGGCAAAGTAAAAAGTGCTGCTTTTCTACCCATTGGGCCAGGGCATTAATCTAGTCGTAATGTTAACTTTTGTCAGTCTATAGGCAAGGATTCTAGTTCAGGTGGCATGCTGATATGGATCCTTTTTTGTTTATTGTTGTGGGAGAAACACATTAGTCCTATATGGGGAGGGGGAAAGAGCAGGATGGTGAAATCCTGGTTTGGTAAGAGAGAATGAGATCTGTGTAACAATTGTATATAGTCAAATATTTAAAATGACACCAGCTGAGCAAATCTTTCACATGAAAAATCACTAGTAGATTTACAAGTTTTTCAGAGCAAATTCTCTTAGCAATCTCTACATTTAAGTTTCCATAATCTCCAATATTGCTTGCATGGTTTAGTTTTAAGCATTGCTTCAAAATGGCATAAGTGGGGTTTTGTCTGTTTTTTTCCCCTATCACTGCTAAACTGTTGAATCATTGATAGTTTATTCGAACATAAACTTTTCCTTTCTGGACTTTATTCTGATAGTCTGTACAGGAGCTGCAGTATTAGATATTCCACTGATGTCTGCCTTTTTTCTGCCATAGGGTTAGTTAATGTTCCTCATCTGTGTGAGCAGGTATAACTGACTTGACTTTTGCTTGGTTTTTGTTCACTGCCTTCCTAGCCAGGCAGATTTTTCAGTTTTCCCCTTTCTCCTAAGGGTGATTTTGTATAGGAAAGTTTTCATGTGTGCTTCTGCAGTAGGGCAGCTGCCACTGAAGACAGGACTCCTCTTGTAACAAAATCTAAACTGGAGGGACGAAACAAAATGGCTGAAAATACCTGAGCTCAATCTAAACTATATTAGTTGTAATATTTCAGCAATTACTGACAATTTACAATGTCGGTAAAATAAATTAGTGTTTTACCGCTGCTAACAGTGAAGGAATTGCTTGGTTAAAAGGAGTTGGAGGTGTGTATTGGTCACATAGCTAATGTAAGAATTACCTTTTTGAAGGTCTGGGTTGTGGAGTTTGCTCATTTAGTGTGGTGTCTTCATTTTGGGTTGTTTTTGTTTTTTAAGGTTGGAAGTTGGACTGCCATAAAATAAAGCAAATGGCTACTTGATATGGTAAGGTAAAAACCAGGGCTACGTGAAACAATATTGTACAGAGGAAAGCCTGTGTTGCATTTGATACATTTACAGGTCCTTGCAGAACTATTTCAAAGCTTTTCACTTGTGCTTTTTAAAGTGTGGAATGTTATCCCATCATGTATGAGGAGAAGACTGTATCTCAGTGCTAGGTTTTTTTGAGCTTTTTGAGGAGGAACTTTCCAGAAGGTTGTACGCTCTTTGCAGTAATGGATTTTCATTTTCTTGATGTGAAGGAATCTCATCTTACCATCAAAATCTATGGGGACTGTGGTATTGTTTGTTGTGCAGTCTATAAGCTGTACACTAAAGAAATTTCACATTTTCAGTGCATATCCGGTTTTATGGGACAGTCAGATGTTTGGAAGGATTTGTTGTTGTTTTTTCCTTATGTTTTTCCCCAAATCTAGTTATTTGGCACACAACTGTGTTGCAGAAGCCTTTCAAAACTATTAATTCTACAACCCCCCTTCTGGGAAACAAATGTGTCCTTATTCCCTTACTAGGAAATCTTAGCTCTGCAAATGTCACAGGAAGAACCATATTGTCCTTGAGGAAGAGAGTCTAATGATGTAACCATAAGAAAATAATTTTAAGAACTTTAATGTATTTCCCCACATCTAAAAAAAACCCTATATTATACCTAATGTGTTTTTTATTATTAATATGCTGTAATTTTTTTAGATCATTTTAACTTGCCTGTGTTGTGAAAATAGCCTTTTTTAGAAGGGGAACGTATTTATTATCAACATCAACCAACTGCATTGATGATGTCCTATTTCTTTATGTTCTCCATGTCCCCAGGAACAGTAAGAATTGACCATTTTACAATCGCTGAGATAAAATTAACTAATCTAAATTGGAGGGATGGATTATATTGAGAATGCCAGGTTTCAGAACACGCTTGATTGCAGTCCCCCTGTGGCTACATGAGCTTATCGACCTGTATGCTCTCTGTCCATTTTATGTCAGTCAGAAGGCAGAGCAGTTTATTGGAGACTAAGGTCCAAAGCTCAGGTTCTCCTCTGTCATTGCCAGATGGGATTATTATCTTAGGGGAAATAATGGTTGAATGGTATAGTGACTTATTTCTTGTAAAAGCATCAATTCCATGTGCATAAGTCAGACCCTGTTTGAACTGTTTCTTCTCAATTGTTCAAAGCATGATAGCTCCTTTTAAAATTCATAATGTTATAATTATTGTATATTCTTTCTGTTTTCTGATTTGAAAATGAAAACTTAAACCTGTTGATCTCAGCTTCAGATTTTCAAAAATTATGTCCTGCATTGGCCATGAGGGGTCACATTGCTGGTGCTTGCTAGAGCTTTGCTGTCAAATGATTTAGCAACCATAGCTCAACCCTATATGATGTTCTCCTGGAAAGACAATTGATAAGAGGAGGCCATTAAATTATAATATAGTCCACTATCATGGTTTATGATTATAGATTAACTGAGGAAAGTAGAGTAGACAAGCTAGGTTGTCTACCATGCAGTTTTCGCAGTTTATATTGTAGCTCAAGTGGGAAAGAGAGTGTGTGTGTGTGTGTGTGTGTGTGTGTGTGTGTGTGTTACAGACTGCTGAAGGAACCCTTCCAGAATATAGGTGATATAATTTACATTCTGAATAGAATCTCTGAATGAGGTTTGGTTTTTAATTAGCTTTCTGTACATAAACTATTAGGTATCAGTACATGTAAGACCTAGGCAACAAGGTCAAATCATGTTACAAAGATCCTTGGACATTATTAGTTTGAAGTACTCTGAGACCTTTTCCTACTAATCAGTAGTTTGAAGGAAATTACACCTTTTACTTAAAAAAAAAAAAATCTGCTACATTGATTTTCAAATATGTTCTCACCTCCTCCCACTCTCTCTCATCCTCCTCCACTTTCCTCCCCCCTAACCCCTCCTGGCAGCGATTAGAAACTTTTTGCTGACTTCTCAGAATTTAGAAGATAAATTCAAGATGTTTTGGTTGGCATTGTAATATGTTTGAATGTCACTGGTACTAGCATGGGATTTTTCTCTTCCTTGCACACTATTGTGCTCACTGACATTTTTCCTGGTAATTGCTGGGACGCATAGGAAAACATGGAGGCACGCAGCTCTCTTTATGCAGCTAACAAATGGCTTTGAAAAAGTTCGGTGTTCTTACAGGTAACTGAAAGAAGTACAACTCATTCGGTCTTAATGGAACTCTGGATAGGCTTCAGATAGGGAAGAAATGAAATGCAGCAGGTATTCTTCTCTACCCTGCTGACTAATGCCCAGTGCAGGACTGTGCTGAGCTGGGACCTTCCTGGGAACAAATGGGGGAGTGAAGGCTTCTCCTAAAACGCAGTCGTGTGCCGCCTGCATAAAACATGGTGAACAAAAGCTTACTAAAGACAGTACCCTCTTCTTGATGTCAGATTTCCCTGTGAGTTACATCATTTCTTGAAGTATTTCTTGACTTTATACTAAAAAAAGATGGACAACCTTGTTAATTGAAGAAAACATATATATAATGTTAGGATGAGGATGAGGAACTGGGACAGAAGGAAAATATATTTTTGGAATGCAGCAATTTTTTTTCCCTTGTCAGATCAGAACTTGGAATGCCAGGTGTGGGGTAGTTTTATGATGCTATATGCAAAAATTATTTTATGTATATTTATGTATATAAAAATTATTTATGTATTTTATGTATAAATTATTTTCTGTTAATGTATATCTGGATGATATTTTATATACATTCAGAAAAAGTGAATGTAATACATTATGATTAGAATGTACTATCAAGGTGTTGTCATATTTTAGTGGCAGAAAAAACGAGGTCAGTATGACTTCCCTTCTTTTTAAAAGAGGTTTTTCTCTATATAGCCTTCTTATTTTTCCCTAGCCTCTTCATGCTTATTTCAGAGGAATTCAAAGATAAAAATGAGTAAGAATTATATGACATAATTTACTGATGATCGTCATTTAATATTTTGTTGCAGAAGGACTCCATGAAAGATGACAGAAGAAGTTATTGTTATTGCAAAGTGGGATTACACTGCACAGCAGGACCAAGAACTTGACATCAAGAAAAATGAGCGTCTTTGGCTATTAGATGATTCTAAGACATGGTGGAGGGTAAGAAACGCGGCCAACAAAACGGGATATGTGCCATCAAATTATGTGGAGAGAAAAAACAGCTTGAAGAAAGGTTCTCTGGTTAAAAATCTAAAAGACACATTGGGTAAGTCCTTTTGTATTTTGGAAGAAGTTTAGTAGACTTGATGGGTGTCAGACTGGGAGTGTAATATGCGTATAAGTATATTTTTAACATGCCTGTTTGGATTTTCTTAATCCTTAGTTTGAGGTGACATGGTGAATGATTGAAGGACAGAGAGAAAGAGAGAGAGTGGGGCTTGGTGGAGAATCATGTGTAGAAATCTGTAACAGGTTTTCTTGTTATTTTTTATTCCAGTTTGTCAGAAATTGGGTATTTTCAGTGGCTGAAGAACTGTGTTTTCACAGAGATGCCAACTGCTGAATCTTCTCCTCTCATGCCAAGTCCTCTCACTTAGAAATAGATGGATATAAACTGGATTGTTCAGCATAGCTATCATAGCCAAAGCTATGAATGAAAGCTTTATGAATGGGACTATACAATGTGGCTATGTACAAAGTCAGGAGTTAAGTTTCTGTGGTCTGAGATATTCCTTCTGTTTCCAAGTCTGTTTTATACCTGCACGTAAATTCTTCACAGCAGAGTACAAATAAAATAATCTAGCATTGAAAAATGTTTATTTTGAAGGAATGTATTTCAAAGTCAGGTTAAATTAATTTTTCTCTATCACTTTTAATGATTGATTGATGGCTAGAAAAGGTTGAACATAGAGATAAGTGATCATTTTACATACGGAGGCCAAAAAAACCTACTAGTGGTATGTTAGGATGTAATTAATAAAATAGAAAAACAGGTACATGGAAGTGTTTTGAGAGGTCTCTGTGCTTGTGTTTTGTTTTTTACCTGTGTCTTGTGAAGTCTTACATAGGGAAAACTTGTTGCAGACTGCTGTACAAAATGACTCTTCCACAGAAAAATTACAATTTGGGATTAGACTTGTTAGAAAGCTGAAAGGTTCGCTTAAAAATAACATGACTATAGCTCGTGTGGGTTTATCCTGTGCCAATGTTGTGTCTAATAGGTTCAGTTTCTTAGTCACTTCTTCATTACTGTGTTCTCTACTGCTGAGCTGCCATGAAGTACATGAAAATTGAGGACTACAGGGTGGGTGGTGAGCAAACAAGGTTATCATAAGATTTACCAAGGTAATATTTAAAACCATAGTCCTTTCTACAGATATTCTTGGAATATAGTCATTACAGTGCCAGCAAATGTGATTACGCCTTTTCAAAAATTTGTATAAAGAGTAAGCCCCAACATCAATTAACTGGTTAAAATCAAAATCCCAGGTGTGACTTTAAGCTCCTTTTATATGAATTTATGTTGTTTAAAATATATATTGTCTGCAAGCTATTTTATTAACAGATTGCAGTTCTGTTGTGGTAATATATCAAGAGTTCATGTAAAATGGGGGCAGTATTTATTTGATGTAAACATATTTTTATTTATATTCAACAGAAATGTTTAAGTGGAGGAACAGAGATGTGTCCTAGCATATGTGCATGTTTACCTTTTCAGTCTTAACAAAGCTGCATGCTGCAGGGTTCTTCCCTTCGCTATCGTGGTGAACTGTGAAATGGTGTGAGAAAAAAGCTTGATGGTTTCGTGGCTGAGCCTTCACTACTGTCACATCGTCCAAACCTCAGCCCTTTGCATGTACGATTTTTTAATTTCTGAAGTGCTGTTACAACAATCTACTGGTTCCCTGTGCCTTTTTAAATGGTTTTCTCTGTGTGTTTGTTCATCTGAGGCTGAAACAACCTTGTGGTGGAGCCTGGCCTTTTCTTTTGCTGTGGCCACACCTAACCTGCTAAGCATCCATGGTGTAAAGCACCTCTCATGCTCTTTTCTACTCATACATCCTGTGACAGTAAGAAACTGCCTAAGCTATATCTAACTCACAGATTGACTCAGGATTTTCTTGACATCCCTTCAAAAGAGGTGATGCTTAAGAGTATTCTTTTTTTTATAGTAAGGTCTGTGAATTCCTCAGCATAATGAAACATGTCTGCACTGTGCACCACATATCTGTGCAATTTTCTTTTTACCTTTCCTGAATCGGAATCCTCAACTAAACTGTAGTCTCTAAGCCTTGCTTGTCTTGCTGTACTGTAATTTCCCATTTAGAACAAGCAGAGCATGTGTCCTTCCTTAGAGGATCCATTGTTCTGAGAGGCCATCAAAAATGCACTCCTTCTTTTTAAACAAAGGCTTGCAAATTGCAAGACTTATGCTTCATTTAGTGAAACAGCTTTTGAAAGTTTTTCTTCAACCAGTAAAGCAAGTTCTTAAGTTTTTTTTATACAAATATGTCTAATGTCTCATCAAGCCTGCCTTTCCAAGTATCACAAGAAAATTCTTATTAAAATACCTGCTAACCTAGCACAGTTGGAATAGTGGTCATGAGTATTAGTTCTTAAACCAAAATATGTTTCCAACTTTGATCTTGAAACTATTGCCAAAATATCGTACTGAACTTAAGAGAAAAAAAAGTCATTTAATAATCAATCAATAATTAATCATGAGTCTTGTGAAATCTCAGGAGAGAAACAGGAGGCTCTTTGTTGCTTCCAGTGGCTCTAGAGAGACCCTCTGACTTACAGGGATCCACCTCTCATACTTACATCGCTGCAGCAAATGGTTGCTCCCATGGAAATACACTTTTCTCTACTTCTTCCTTAATAGACTAGATTTCCTTGTATTCAAATGTATTTCATCTGAAAGCATTGTTATCTTGCAAATGATGTACTGTGTTGTCTGTGCAATTACCGGTAGCTATCTGCCACTCTTATGCTTATACACAGTAATTACCGGTGGTTGATTTATATTTTTGTCAGATATTCAATAAATATGGAAAGTGCTAGCCATAGTTCAAATTGTGGCAGACCCTACAAGAGCTATAGCTATTTAATTAATAGTTCTCCTAGTTGGCTGTTGAAGATGCATCATCTGAATAGTTCTTCATCCTGTGTTCTAATGAAATTTTATGGCACCACTTACGTTGGTGTCTTGTACATAGAAACCCAAGTGCACCACGAAAGTTTACTGTCTTTCTGAAGTTGCCTGTATCAGGAAAACTTTTAATCTCATCAGGGAATGAAGTCATGACTGTTTGATGATAAAAACTAGTTTTCCCAGAACTGTTGACTGTCATAAATTGAATTTCAATCCTTGAATACTTTATTAATAGAATCCCATCAGCTTTATTGTTGTTTGGCTTGTGGTTGGTGGAAGGTTAATGGGCATGTGGGTACCTAGAGCATACAGCCTGATGGTTTAAAATATCAGCCTATTTTCAGCAATGTCTTAAGGCTTCTGAAATTTCCACTGTATTTTCAGCATTTTTTGGAAAGAACAGAAATAAAATATGTTCAGAGACAGCTCTTTTAAATGTGTTGGGTGCTTATTAAAATGCTGATTAACACTTGTTTAGCATATGTTCATTAAGCTGGTTACTTGTGGTAATGAAAAACAGCTCACCTCAAATCTCAAATGACTTCCACCTACACCCCCACTGCACACCTGAGTCACCCTACAACTTCATAGAAAACGATGGCCTTTTCTGCACCATTCACTTTTGTCTTTGCCATTCTAAGACCTTAACTCTGTTCTACTATGTCTTCTTTTAGTCCTGTCACCAGGGAATTTTTCCAAAACTTAACTGATTTGCAGACATTTCGAGACTTGTAATTTTTCTATGGATGACTGTTTGTTTTTTTGTCATTTTTCTGTTTGATATACATTACCTCTGTGTTCTTAAATCTTTTTCCCAAGTGAAGTCTAATGGTTATGTAGCTATGATGGCACAGTTTTAATTATGGAAATGTAGCATATAGGCCACCTATTGAGTATTTTAAATGATTCATCTTTTCATTTCCTTTTTTGTCTTAACTGAGTGATACGATGAGTAAAAAGTAATGGCAATTTGGCCATTTCAAATTGCTGTCTTCTGTTTGCTCATATTGAATGAAATCTGGTAATTATTACTATTCTTAGGGCAAAAGCCAACTTCCAGGCCTGTAATTAAAATTTCATCTTCATTCATTATAATGAAGTTTAAAATAGTTTCCTTGAACAGTATTTCTTTTGTGAGGGGGGTATTTTTTACACATTTTGAATACATCTTGCTGAGCAAGAGACCTCCAGCGTGCATCTTCCAAACTGTAATTTTCTGTCATATAATTCTTCCCATGTGCTGGAGGTGGAAAAGAACTCCCATACCCATTTGGTTGGAGTGGGTGTGTGCCAGCACCAACCCCAGAGCTGCGCTGAGTGCCGTTCCACGGGTTTCCCCTCCTGCAGCAGAGATGATCTATGGCTGCTGGCTCATCTCAGTCATGCTGAACAGAAACCTTATCTGAAGGAAGCCAAAATAACTGCAAAGTCAGTTGTTTGTGTACTCAAAATAAAACTTCTGCATTTTTTCCATCCCTTTGCAAGTCATTTTCCTGGCACCAGCAGAACTCCTCAGACGGCAGCATGCCACAAGTGACTGATGCATGCGATCCAGCAACAGGGTGCTGTTTTCATGGGAATCCATGATTTTCTGAATGCTACTGCGTTTTCAAAACCAGCACTGCATGTAGGGTTTTCTTACAGGTTTCTGGTCTTGTTACCTTTAGTGAACACCCAAATAAGAAGCCTTGAAGACGATTCCCCTCAGCTCTTGGTGTCGGTTTTTGAACAGATGCCCATTAAAGGAAGGAAAGTTTATTAAAAGGTATTGAAAGAGAGATTGGAGGAATACAGGAGATGTGTTTGCAAATCCATAGGAACAATAGAAACACTAGATGAGTGTTAGCAGTGATGGCAAATAACAGTCACCTGGATAATGTTTCACAGAGATGTTTGAGTCGCACAAGAGACTCTTCAAATCACTTCTTTATTAAGCTTCTGTAAGTCTGAAAAACTTCTCAGTAGCTTTTTAGTTTTAATTCTCACTTCGTGTGCCAGATTTTTGTGTGGAAAATAAGAATTGCCAAGTGAGATGTAATGTATGGAAACCAGTTCTTACTTACATCAGTGTTCCTAGTATGTTGTTTCAGAAGTGTTATGAGCGTCCCAAA